CACACACACACACACACACACACACACACACACACACACACACACACACACACACACACACACACAAGGCCAGCCCAGCCCAGCCCAGCTTTGACCATAAATCCATGACAATGTTTCATTTCAGAGCTTTTTTGAGAATGACTTCGACCTGCAACTGCATTATGGCCATGGTTTGCTGTGTCATTTGACTCAGCGTTTCAGTAAACTGACATCGTCGTGAATCCCAATGTAGGCTACACCTTTAAATTATGTCTCTGTGTTTCTTGAGAACTAGACAGGGTCACTGCAGGGAATTTGGCGACATATTATGCTGCGTCAACAAAGGCTTATTGCGCCCAGAACAGCAATTAAAAGCCCCGATACCAAGCGCTTGGTCATTTTAATTTATTTTTAAAAAAGATATTATTGAGAGAACACCTCATTAACGTGCTTTTTCTTTCTGTTGTTCTGGGGATAGTTTGGGTGCTTTTGTAAAAAATAAAATTGAACTATCGTCACGAGTGCCTGTGAGAGAGGGCCTGTAATCGATCAAGCGTATTAATGTTCCTATGAATGCGCGATTGATTATTACAAAACAAAATAAAACTTACCACACCCCTCCCCCCAAAAAAACCCAACAACAAACCAACAACAAAACAACCCACACGCACAAAAACAACATTAAAAAAACACAAAAAAACACAAAAAAACAACAACCAACAAACAAATCCAAAACAAATCGAAATGTATGGAATATTCTGCCTCACTCGCTTCATTGATCAAAGGTCTGTTTTCTCCACGCTTCTTTAGAACTGAAAACGCCTCTCTCGGCTTAGAGTAAAGTGCACTTTGGAGTCCCTTCTTTAACAAATTTTGAGTGGTTGGCGGGTGCTCTGGTGCGGTCTGATTCCTATCTCCTGTTTCCTTTCAAACATCCACCATTTTTTTTTCTTCTCGTCCTTCTTTTTGTGTGTTTGTTCTCTCGTAACCCCTTTAAAGCATCGGCAATTACCGGTATATGACTTAATTGTGTCGTAACTGTCGTTAGTACCTGACTAAAAATAAAAACACAAAACGCTGAAATAAACTAGTAAGCTTCAATTCCCCTTCAACGAACAGAATATCTAATTGGAACTGAAGAGATTGCAGAATGGCTAAATATAGACTTTTTCATCTTTATTGTTATAAAGTTATAAAATATTTTCTATTTCTCCCCCCTCCTTTTTCTGATGTATTTTTCTCAATCTCTATTTTAGCATATTATTTTTATTTTCTCTGCTTCGGTCTGCTCTCTCAATGTATATGGGGGGGGGGGGGGCGGGGAGGGGGAACTTTTCACCCCCGCGAGAGGAATCGAACCCCGGCCTCCCACGTGACAGGCGGGGAGGGGATACTTATCAACTATCAACATTCAGCTAATTACACATTGTCATGTCATCATAGCTTCCAATACTGGCCCATTCATGATCTTTCTTTTCCACTCACTTACGCAGCGTGGCGGGCGACTGACCATTCATTGTTTCAATACGTTATCAAATCACAGTGACACTGATTCACCTAAAGCCTGCACGCTCACCACACAGACATAATATATTGGCCTACACACATGTGATATTATCCTTTGAATAAACAATCCTCTTTATCTTCTCCCGGGAGTCAGTATCGCCTATATTGGTAATTATTTATTTCATAATACATGTATTTTAATAAACAATAGAGGCCAACAGTTGGAACAGGTAAAGACTGAGTAAGTAAATCATACATCTTGAAATCCACTCAAGAATCTGGCCCGCTTAATTAGGCCTAAGATTGAAACTGCCTTTTGTCTCATGGTGATCGGGTTCTTATAGCTTTCCGATATGAAGGACGTAATTGAAAACAAAATACGTTCATAACGACACTTGAGCGTCGACGAGCGCCCTTTATTCTAGCTACGCACGTGATATGGTGTGTAATATTAATCATATTTACTATGTCTCATTCTCAGAAGCGTGTACGTGTGTGGTAGCTTACTGGAATGGACAAAAGATATAGGGCCTACAAGGATAATATAAAACTGCAAGTCACTTAAATACCAATGCTGCAACAACAACAAGCATCAAGATCTGACTTTGTCAGTAAAAATGTAGACCAACGTAATATATTATTAGTTCTAAGTAGGCTACGACTTTAAACAAATGAATTACTGTATCGTAATAATAATTGAAAGCTTATAAATTATATAATTATTATTGTCATGTCGCCCATTTATTGTTTGTTATCAAGGGAAGTAAGCGTAACTAAGGATTCGGTTTCTAGCGTGGCGATGATATCCCTTGTCATAAAAAGTCGGGTCATTTCAGGTGTAGTTCTAAAATATACAGTCAAAGATTCTCCACAGCCAGTCCCGTTAGCTAGATTCTATAGCGATATATTTTTAGAAAAAGCAAAGTCTTTTGTAAGCATATGTTCAAAGAAAATAGAGGATGTAAAACATTCAACAAATTAGTGCCACAGAAGGAAAAAAAAAAGTAATTTTAATTGTTTTATAGATCTAGAATCTAGATCTAGATCTAGATTATACTAGTTTTATAACATCGCCTTCAATTTCTAAGTTTACAAATGCTGAAAGGCGGAAATAATCAACCCGCACGCAACAAGTTTCACAACTTTACATTCATAGTGTGAATTTCACACGCGAAAATGAAAAAGGCAAAAGCCAATGACATTTTTAGATCCAGATAGGCTAAAAGTAAAAGCCAGAGAACGTTTCAACCCTTTCAAGAACGACTGGCGGGGCGATAGGCCTAGACCTAGCCTGGAATCTGGACTTAAGATCTTAAAAAATCCAGCCTAAATCTAGTCTAGAATCTAGGGACGAAAGGTCTGTCAACAACACTAGACTAGATCTATAATCTAGATCTATATCTAGATCTATATATCTATATCTAGATCTAGATTAATCTAGATCTAGATCTATATTTTATAGATCTAGAAAATCTAAATGGCATCTGCATCTCACACAAATTATTTCAAAGAAAAATGCATGCTGAAAGAAGAGGAGAACACTTTAGTTGAGATGTTAGACAAATTTAAAGACCAACTCAACAGACTCAAGGTAAGAGTTTTTATATTTAGACAAGTTTTTTACTAAAGTATTTGTATTTTAGACAAAACCAAAAGGTGCCTTACTGACTTGCATGTATTTGAACCTGAATAATTACTAGATCTAGATCTAATGAGACCTGTGTACTTAACAAGGCTTGAGTCGATAGGGCCAAACCTAGATCTAAGTACGGCTAGACTGGCCCCTACTCTTGGGGCCAAAACCGGCGAATAACAGTTACGGGGTGGGAACTACCAAAAAAGCGCCAAAAAGTGTTCGCATTATAACTATAATACGGGGTGCCCACTACGGATGCGATCGGCCGACTCGATCGCCTCAAAAACAAATGTGTTTGTTTTCAGTTTCAGGCGATCGAGTCGGGCGATCGGCCCGATCCAGCCGTGTAGTGGGCACCCCATTTAACAAAGGTGGCCGTCTTGTCTTAGGCAGGACTGATCAAAACGAAGAAAGTAAACCATTCCCTTCTGAGGCAGGTCCAGAGCGGGGCTGATTCAGGCTTAGGACTGTCATAGAGAACGAAAGGACTTCCATAACGAGCGACCACCCCAACAAACACAATACAGAAGAGACCTAACCTTAACCCTGGCCCAACCCCTAACCCGCAACCCCTACCCCAAACCGTACCTCTACCCCAAACCCTAATTCTAATCCTCTATTCTACTTTGTTTCATAGTGGTTGCTCGTTACGGAATTCTTCCCTTCTTTTGAAGGGGGGGGGGGGGGGGGGGGGGGAGGAGGAGGAATGCCAGTAAGAATGGTTTTTTTCTGTTGTTATTGGTTTGTTGTTTTGTTGTTTTTTTTGTTAGCTTGTTGGTTGCTGACTTTGTTACAGATAGGTAAACAAAACAGTGACCAGCCACTTCACATACAATTTGTGCGTTTGAGTTGGCTGCTGTGGGCGAGGCTTAGTGACAAACACACACTTCCCTCACCAGCAGTTGAAAGTATTGATACCCTTTGGTCAACTTGGGTAAACATTCACTGGAGAGACTAACAAGAATGACAGGTGAATGGATTACGACGGCCCGTCCACAGAGTTAGAGGCTGATTTAGAATTTATGACAGAGCATTGGGCGATCATAGAGACCACGCCTGGCCGCCTGAGGCAGGTAAATTTGGCTCTGGGTTGATAAAATAAGGTGGCCGTGGCCGCGTTGGACAGGTGTTCGTTTTACACAGTTGTTAAATTATATAAAAAACGCAAGGGGGGGGGGGAATGGAAAGTGGTCGTCTTTAGTAAAGAGAGGTGGCCGTCATGGCAGGTTCGACTGTATTTTTATATTTCTAGATCTAGATTATCTAGATCTAGATCTAATCTTGTCTAGATTTTTATTAAATTAGATAGTGTTAATTGCGACAGAGTGACGCTGTTACTACTAACGCAACGTTAATTGCGACAGAGTGAACACGGAGCTCTTTTGCGTTGAGGATTAGATCTAGAGATCTGTAACATAATCTACCATTTCCACTTTTCCCAGCGTGGTCCTAGCTGTCTAGAGGCTAGTCTCTGCCTGACAAGATGGAAGGCATTTCATAGCAGGCACTCAAATCTTACAACGAATTTGACATAGAGCTTTTGCTAAATTTAAAGCTGAAAATTTTGTTGCCTTTAGGAAGAAATCATCTGAAACTGAAACAGTTGAGAAGGCGGACTTTAAAAAGAGTGTGGCAAAAATCCACAAAGACTTTCTGTACAGTAGAGTCGAGGCAACAAATATTACAACAAAACATCATCATCAGCAGACAACAGCAACAAAAACCACTGGGGGCAACAACAGCAACAACAACAGGAAAAGAGCTGCGACTGTCTTTGTTTGTTTGTCTGTTAGTTTGGTGTGTGTGTGTATAAGTTATAAGGCCACAAGAAGTGTGTGTGTGTGAGTGTATGTGTGTGTGTGCGTGTGTATTTGTGTGTGTGTGAGTGCATGTGTGTGCATCATGTGTGTGTGTGTGTTTGTTTTTATTTTTTATTTTTAAATTCTTTTTTTTTGTCACAGACTCACTCTGTCGCAATTAACGCCGCATTAATTGTCACGGAGTCACTCTGTCGCAATTAACACTACCATTAAATTAATAGAGTCTTGCTTTTTATGTCATGTTTAAAATTCTTCTACCTTTCTACTTCTAGATCTAGGTCTAGAGATCTAGTAATCTAGTCTGGGCACAATCGGTTCTGTTTGGTTTGGTTTGCTAGCCAGCTTCTATACTCGATGACGACTAAGGCGGTATCGAATAAAAGGGAGGTAGGAATAAGGGAGTGTCTACGACACGTAATATGGTAACCGGGTTCGTAAGTCTCAGACTCTAGCTTACGTACATGGCACGGTAACCGGAAGGTCCACCCTCGTTCTACACAGAAGTATCGTGTTAAGCAACTCGATGTGTTGTGGGCAGTGCACCACGGCACTGTGCCCTACTATCTTTGCTGTGCCAACTCCGACCACCACATTCTCCGATGTGCGCATTGTGTGAGGCCACATTGTTTGACCAATGGCCATTTCAGCTACTCTTTTTTTTTGGTTTTAAATCCAAGTTCACAGTCATAGACACCTTGTTGTGTAGATCTATGCACGACTGCTCCCTCTGAACACATGGTCAAAGTCAATGTCAAAGATGACCTTGAAAGTTAAGCATTTGTAATAAATTAGTAAACCTAATTTTTTACTACAAACATTCGTCATACAGTAGAACATGACTATAGCGGCACCCGCTGCAGCGGGACCTTCCCTACAGCAGGACTTTACCGCAATCCCCCTTTTTCTATGTAAACTCAATTACTTATGCTTGGGTTTAGCAGGGCAAGGAAAGTCCCGAACTTGGATACTGCTAGAGAGATCGAGCAAGCTCTAGCTAGGGGAAGGGGTTTGGGTGATTGGAGGCTGAAGGTGGGCTCCAAAGAGGCAGTCGATGGTGCGGCATTGTGATTGGCCAGTCCAGTGATGAGTGAGGTGGGGCAGACGGAAGAGAGATGGTGCGGAGAGGCGTGTTACGTGAGCCACTCCAAAAGTGATGTGCCATAGACCTAAGCCGAGGCTGCTAGGCCAAAATGTAAAAGAAGAGGAGAGCATGTAGTGTGTGATTCCTGATTCATTGAATTGTGATTGTTGATGCTCAGGCATACACACGCACCCACCTCACCAGTTCTACACAGAAGGCCTACTGGTACGATAGACAGCGCAAGCAACAATACCAAGGAAAAGATAGCTTCCAACAAAGACAAAAAGTATAATTTTCTTGTTATTTTTGGAATCCAGACCAAAAATTATGAAAAACAGGCAATAAAATGGCTTGTTGTGCTTACTGCTTACATTCCGCTCATAACACACAGAAAGCGGTGAAAACATGAAATTGAAAGAAGTCGTGGCACATTCAAACTCATACCCCTGTACTAGTAGGAACAAATCTGTTTTATTTCTCTTTCAGTGAAAATAAAAGAACAAGAAATAATGAAATGTTAGTGATTTTAGCATGTTACTGTGACAACTTTTACCATTTAGGAACAAACCAGTTTCATTAAAAAAATACAAACCAATGTACAAAAGTTTTTAAAATGCAGAGAAAATTGAGGTAGCCAACCCGGTGCCGGTATTAATACTGTGGGTAATTTGCCATTTACAAAAAAAAAGAAGTTTCTTTCAGATATCTAGATTCTAGATCGAATGTTTCACATGATCGTTGGTCGTGGCAAGCTGGAAAATTATAAACGGAGGGTATGGAATAAGGAGCGGGGGAGTACGCAAAAAACTTTATATTAATGGCGGGGGGGGGGGGGGGGGGGGGGGGGGCTTTCAATGTACCTTAGAGTAGAGGGCTCAAAGTGGCTATCATAGTACAAACTACAAACCGATCACCCGTCTCTTTGCCTCGAAAACTATCTGTTTTCATTTTCAGGCGACGAGTCGGGTGATCGGTTTACCGATCCCCCAATAAAGATGCCATGGGCACCCTGTATTATAACTGTGCTAGACTAGAATAGAGCCAGAGATATCCACTAGGTCTATAGCTTGTTCACATTCGTCACTGACAACGGTACAAGATAGTGAAATTGCTTTGTTAAAGATGAAAAGTCTTCTCAGATCTTTGCATATATAACGGGTCCAAAAGTTGGATGACCAACAGAATCTAAAAGCCCATTTATAAAGATAAAGACTAAAGATCACTGCAAACTAAGGTTCTGACACACTTTCTTTGATGTAGGCCTTGCTAAGGCAAAAGCGGGTTAAAAAGTAGGGGACCTAAAACATTTCCTCCACACCACAACTTTAATCAACGTTCGCCAAAGTGCACACTATGACTAAAAACAGATCCCTGACTTGCTTCAGAATATCAAATTTGTTTAAATTATATACTGAGAAGTTAAACAGAGGAGCTTTTGAACTCTGGAGACTGAGGAACTTGGTGATGAGGTCATTCATATCTGCATCTGCATGGTATTGTTGTTCTCCAAATTTACTGTTCACTGCACGAAAATTTCCTTCAATGTTGAATTTTGGCTTTATGTGTCGACTGCCTCATATCGTGTTTGCTATTATAAACGTGTTGAGAATTACTTGAATCCCATAGACATGGGAAATTTTGTTAGCTTTCCGTCAGCCTCTCCAAATCGGCACCATCCGTTATCACTTTCCATACTCAAACAAAAGGTCTGACCTTGACATTGTAATGGAATGTCACGTGAAATGTAAGGTATGTTACAGGCCTTATGAGTAGTTTTTCTCATCCACAATGGATACGACCAGTTAAACTCCAAATAAATAGGAATAATTTTGCAGACAACGGTTGAATTTTGTGCAAAAATGGTAGCTTTTCGTTGGTGTTCTGATGGAACCTCGCTGACTTGAATTTTTGCGAAAAATAGTTTTTGCATCTTAAGATTTCTGATACCTTTGATACACAATGTGTATAAATATTAAATTCAAATTGAAACTATAAATGCTCGAAAATGCACTTTAAATTTGGTGCAAAACCTCGCTGTCCACCACAGCTACATTGGTGATTACTTGAAGTTCCCCACAACAATTTAGGGAGGTTCCATCAAAGCATGTTTTGATCACCATTGGTCAGTGAACCTTGCTGTCTTCCTCCACGTGGTCACTTACTTTATCAATCTCAATAGGGACAAATAAATTTTCACTCGTGCGAAATGTTATAGCTTGCTTGCGGGCCATCAGGACATAAAATGACCCATAGCATTTTTAGCTTTGCTTTGCATGTTGAGTTTTTCTAACTTTGGTAGCCCTTTTGGGAGGATCAATGCAGCAATGCTTGAGACGGAAAACCTCTCTAACCAAAGGATGTTTTGTGGCCAACTCAGATTGCGTATATTATGCTTTCTGGTAAAATACATTAATCTTTGCCGGATTTTGTCTAACGCCCATCACAATACATTGACAGAATTTTATTGCCAAAGTGCAGCCAAAGTGATAACTATGTTGTTATCATTGACAATGTTAGATAGTTTTTTGTCTCTCTTGTTAACTTTTAAAATTTGAGTTAACAAGGTTCTTGCCTTCCTTGAAGGAAGATCTGGCTAAAAGAATTTCCTATTTTACAGTAGTTTTTAAAAATATATGTAACATTTTTTATTTGTTTGTCCTGTTTAGATTGAGGAACTGGCCTTGATGAGTTTGATGAAGATGCAAAACTCAGTGAGCCATAGTGTGCCCCAACATGGGACAAGCACCTCTGAGCCCAGCAGATCGTTGGACACGGCGTCGGATGTCAACAGTGTGTCATCTATGATACCCATTGGGACGGTGAGTGCTTTTTGACACATGTATAAAGTAGAGGAAGCTTTGAAAGTAGGGCGCCTGCTTCCATGTACATTTAAGGATCCGAGGCAAAACTATGCTGTCAGAACTGTTGTGAGTTTGCATTCCTGTTTTGCCAAGGGATACTGTCAGGAGCCATCAAGACACTTTTTCCCGTTACTCTGGTCTGCCTGGTGGCTAGAAGATGGCACCTCTACAAGAATGGGGGACCAGAAACAAAGATCTCATTACTCATTTTTCTTCAGGAATGGAGTTGTGCATGATCTAAGGATTTGTCTCTGTCTGGTCTAATAAGTTATACTGAGTTATAAAGAGTTGTATCTGATCTGATGAGTTGTGTCTTATATAATATTATTATGCTGTGTCTGAATTAAATTTTGTCTGATCTTATGAGTTGTAGTCAAATCTAATCTGATGAGATTTTGTTTTATCTGATCTTGAGTTGTAGTCTAATCTGATCTTATGAGTTGTTTTCTAATCTTATAGAATGAATTGTTTTCAAGTCTGGTCTTATGGGTTGTTGTCAAATCTGCAGTGTTGTTGTCTAATCTGATCTAATGACTTGTTGTCTAATCTGATGAGTTGTGTCAGACTGGCTGTAAGTGCCCAACATAAAAGTATGTTGTGGATGGTTGAGGCTAATGTAATTTTTCCCTCCCTCCTCAGGTGGAGCACTCGGCCCCAGACCACCATGAGGTGCTGGATCTGCGCGTGGATGCGGAGCTGTTGCACAGAGGTAAGGCCATGAATGGTTCAGATGGCTGTGGTTTGCTTCAGAACTTGCTGATATGTACGGCCCAGTTTGTTGTTATAATCAGCCTAGTAAAGTCTCCTCTATATGGCTGCATTGATATATAGTAGTCTTCTCCTTAACACGCACTATATTAATATAATAAGAGATAGTATTTGTGTAGCTCAAGTCCTTCTCAACAGCAAGCTCTATGCGCTTTACAAATTATACTTTTACCCCAGCAGACTTGATAGTACTGTATGCTTCCCGTGAAGGTGAAATTTGACGTTTCGTGGTGAAATCAGGCGCCTTGTCAAAATAGCGAAATCAAAGAAATTTGTATTTTTCTGACCTTTGAGCAATTTTTTTCTAATTTTCTTTTTTTGACTCAACACCTTTTATTTCCATTTAAAAACACATTTCTGTGTGACTTTTACTGAAAAACATTGATTAAAGGCACAAAAAGTGTTAATTTTCCGTTTCCAAGGACTTTCAAGCTATGGAAATTACCACACTTTGGCGGGCATTTTCTCGCTAATTGCACCTGTGAAACCAGGCGACCCTGACCTCCTTCAATCGCAAATATTTTGACTTCTATTTAAGATAGATGGAAATTTTTTTTTCACCAAAAGCAAGACAAATGAACAGGCTTTATGATGATACCAATAACCCCATATGCCCAAAAATTAACGAGTGCCTGATTCCACAATGTCACGACACAAATTGGTTCAGAATGCTATCAGGTCTGCTGGGTTAATAATAGTGGTTGTAAAGTGCAGAGAACTGGCTGTTTAGTGCGAATTTGCCCTATTAAATACAAATGCTATCTATCTACTACTACTGTTCAGACATTAACTAAGTGGTACAGTGGAACTCGGATTCAACGAGGTCGCCGGGCCTGACTTAAAATCTCGTTGAATCCGAGCGCACACAGTCACACATTTGCAGACCGCCTATCCAACCCCGACATACGCCAGAGTAGACACATGCGCGCGCCAACGACGCATATTGTGCTGGTATGAAAAAAGGCCGCTGATTTGTCGCATGCAATCTGCTAAGTAAATAATAGCCTAGTTCACGATACTGGTGCAATGGATGGTTTCCGTGAATAGATAAAGTTTGTTCTGGGAGAAAAATGAGCGAAGCCACGTCTACGGGAGCTGTTCATCCTGGAAGCGATCTCGTTGAATCCGAGCTGGCTGATTTAAGTGCTCGTTGAATCCGCGTTATTTTTATTGATTATAAAGAAGAAAAAAAACCGGGGAATTTATCTCCTGTCGTTGAATCCGAGTTCTCGTTGAATCCGAGCTCGTTAAGTCAGAGTTCCACTGTATAGTATTGCTTTTGCATCCTTCAACCACTTTCATTTTGCTGACACCAGGCAGACGGAGATAGTCATCCTTCAACCACTTTCATTTTGCTGACACCACGCAGACGGAGATAGTATATTTTTGGTTTAAAGGTACTTTTCGGTGTTGAAAATTCAGGGTAGCTATGAGAATAGGGCACACCTGGCTGGGGGCTTGGAGTCCTTCTGTCTGGGAACATGAACATGCCTTACCATGATGATATTGGCTGCAGTTGGGTTTTAAAGATTTGCAGCGTTGGACTACCCATAGGTACACAAAAGAAGATGGAAGACATTTGGAAATAAAAATTGGTTGCGACCTGTTGCTTCTCTTGTTTTTCCGTGTGTTGTTGTATTGTTTGTTCCTCTCAACTAATCTGTCTGTTTGCTTGCAGTCCCCAGAAGCATCGACAACTTTGAGGAAGAAATGGAGGAGGAAGAAGAGGAAGAAGACAGTGATGAGGATGGAGAGATTGTGGATGACTATGCCTTCATGGCTGGTCAGTGATGGTCAAACTGTTCACTAGTGACTGCAAACAACTGCTTTTCCACCATCAGTGACAGTGACAGTAAATTTTTGCAACACTGACAGTCAACAATAGCTTGTCCATCACTGGTGACAGTCAACTATAGCCAGTCCTCCAGTGACAGCCAACAATAGCTTGTCCACCATCAGTGGTGGCCAGACTCTCACCCAGGGATGGTCAACCAGTCCATGAGTGATTGTCAGCCTACTCACTAGTGACAGTTGCCAGTCCAGTGTGCCATATAGCCTGTCTACCAGTGTTTGTCATGTAGCCCTGTCCTCCACCAGTGACAGTTATATAGCCCTGTCCTCCACCAGTGACAGTCCATGTAGCTCTGTCCACCACCTGTGACTGTCGTGCAGCACTGTCCACTTGTGATAGTCATGCAACCCTGTCCACCAGTGTGGGTCATGTAGCCCTGTCCACACCAGTGACGGTCATGTATCCCTGTCCATCACCAGTTACGGTTATGTAACCCTGTCCACCACCAGTGTCAGTTATGTAGCCTTGTTCAACACCAGCTATGGTCTTGTAGCCCTTTCCACCAGTTTTAGTTATGTAGTTATATAACCCTATCCACCACCAGTGATGGTTGTGTAGCCCTGTCCACCAGTGACAGTCATTTAGCCCTGTCCACCAGTGATAGTCAGCCTGTCCACTGGTCATAATCATAAAAGTAATAGCTCTGTTTGTCATTTTGTTGTGTGAGAAATCTCCTTTAGTACTAGAACAGCATCTATAACTTTGCAGCTGTTACATCAAATTTTACCATTCTGGTCCACTTTTGCAATCTGAAAAAAACCTGTGCTTATGTCTATTCGCTTTATGGTGAATAGTTTTTATTCAAATATTATTAGCTGGAGCTGCATTTTCTGAGACCTGTAAGAATGAATTTGTATGTTGTGGGTGTAGCCGGTCAGTAGCCTACAACTTTGCCTACTATGTGTGAATACTAGTGTGAGTAGGCAAGAGAGGCTGTCCTCCTGAACTGGCTGGAGGGAGTAGTGTAAATTAGTAATAAGACAATGGCGGTTTCCCTTCCTTCGGCCTGCTATTAAAATCTGGGAATTGCAGTTTTTGAGGAGTCTACGCATTAAAAGTAAAACAGATGACGGCATTGACAAGATTGAAATGAAATACTGTATAATCTGCTTATATCGACATGCTTTGGGAAGTGGATTTGATGTTGATATATAAAAATGTCGATAAATGAAAATATGAAGCCAAAAGAGGAAAAAAACAAGGGGAGGCTAGCGGTAAAAAGACAACTCTACTTTTTAAGCTGGTTGCTTCCCTTGATTCGTACTTACCGACACAGTTAAATAAACAAGAGGCAGAGGGGAGGGGGGATTGGAGTTACCGTACCAAAGACCGAGCAACGCAAGGTGCACACTACACACCTGTGCAAACTTTGTTGAAGCACTGTTCTGTGTTGGAGACTACACTGTGTAGGCCTTACATGACCTACTAAAGCCTGGTGTGTCAAATAGGCTACTTGGTGGGTATGCAGACTTAATGAAGAACTAATGTGTTGACCGTTAGGATGGCTTCCCCCCCCCCCCCCCCCCATTTATGTTCGTGGGCTTCGTCAGGTACCCGGAAGCATGTCGATAAAGCAGAGTGAGCCGAAAAAAAAAGCTGATATAAGAGAAATTGTTAAGTGAAGACATTGAAGGAAAGATTTCGTAATTGGAAAATATGTCGATATGTCAAAATGTCGATACATCGGCTGTCGATAAAAATAGATTATACTTTGATGAAGCAGGCCATTCCAGTGTGGTTACTGACCACTTGCAGGTTGTTTATTATGAATCGGGCATATTTAATGTTTAAAGTTGCCGCAGTTGTCTATGATTGTGGTACTGGTACTTTGAAACTGTGCATACACAGTTGATGCTAATAACGTGAATGAAGAAAAGTCATGATTTCTTTTTCCCCCCCCCGTCTAGTATGATCTAGAATAAGGCCTGGGTGGGGGATGTTTTTGCGTTATTAAGTTAAAATGAGTGGGAAAGAAGAGTAGAATATTCTGAATGCCAGTATTTGTGTCTGGTTTTTGGGAAGGAAAAAAGAAGGATTGCTATGTTTTTCTGCCCTAGAGGTGGATGGCAGGGTTGTACTTCACACTGTCTTTTTTGCCCGATGAAAATCTCTAGTGGATGTTACAGTCTCAAGTATAGACTGTCATCTCTGTACATACAAGACTGCAAAAGTTGTGTAGTGCATTTTTCAGAATAGTAGTAATAATAATGCAGATCATTTCTATAGTGCCCATTCATGTGTGAACACAGCTCTAGGTGCCTTACATAAATGCACGTATGAACAGTATTCACATACTACATATGCACACACACACACACACACATACACACACACACACACACACACACACACACACACACACACACACACACACACACACACACTCACGCATACATTACACGCACGCACGTGCACACACATGCTTGCCACACACACATATCTACTTGCGTATCACACGTGCACGCTTAACATATCGTTACAAAATGAGCACATACAAAATAATAAAATAATATACAAAAAGCAAAATACACAAATGAATACGTAGTCATTTTCTTTTACGTAACATTGTACCAAACTTGAATCTACTGATATGAAAATGATTTAATTAAATGTGTCTTAATTTAATAAAGATATTTTAAGTTTAGACTCGGATGTTGTATGTCTCAAGGGTTGGGGAGGAGAGTTCTAAACTGATGGAGCAAGGTGGGCAAACGATAGTGTGTAAGATTGTCACTTCTGCCTATGCAATGATTTGAGAAAACACTTCAAACTTTGGAAGGAGCTCACCATGAGCAGATGTACACCTAAAAATTAGAGACGGGCGGGAAGCGCTTTTTCCTTCCCGAGCGAGAAGACCTGGAAACTGACCTATTTCTCGCCGAGACCGGTCCCGGGAACGGGAAATACTTCCCGTCTCGTGTCTCGAGAAATACTTCTCGTCTCGTGACCAATTTCTCTTCTCGCCCCGCAGTTCGAGCCACTCGTTCAACGAGAAGGCCGGCCGTGGCCGAGATTTCTCTTCTCGCCCCACAGAACGAGCAGCTCGTTTAGCGAGAAGACCGTCGTGGCGGGGATCTAAACTTAGAAACTAGGCTTGCCCTGTTGCGCAGGCGCAGGCGGTGAAGGAAGGTAGGGAGACCTGGGCCCTGATCAACTCCCCACTCGCCTCGTCTCGCCAACCTCTCCCCTCCCTTTCAGTTTCACACACAGGACGGCACGGTGATGGGTGGCACTGTCTGTGTTGTCATTTCTCGCCTCTCACTCTCTCACTCTCGTTACTGTTACTCGTTATGTCAAGCCAACGAGCAGTATCACGTCTCGGTACCAGGCAGTAGTTTAAGGATAATGCCCGAGAAGCGACGGGAAGGCCGTTACCCGCGAGAAACAAGTACACGGCTCGTCTCGTGCCCGCCTTTACTAAAAATACCTGTCAAGCCCTGATGTGATGATTTTGAAATGAAATAAAAGACATCCAAGTCAGAGTGCCATCTAAGGGTTCTGATTAGTCTCAAATTTTGTAGACATATTGACTTGTATCAGTACAGTGGAATCCTGATATAACAGGGATGGGGGGACCTGAGAAAAAATCCTGTTTTTAGTGTTATATCGGATCCCTGTTAAATCAGAAGTGCAAGGGAAGTAAGCGTTTGTGGACTAATCCAGCTGTATTTATTCATGGGTAGTTTCCCCCGCTTCACATGCTGTGTGTGCTTGCAGTGGCGTGGCTTGCGTGGGCTTGCCGCATCACTGCGTTGCTCTCTCTCTCTGTCTCTCTCTCTGTCTCTCTCTCTGTCTCTCTCTTACTTTTTACACATTGTTAACAAGCCTTTGTCCCTGCTATAACCGATTGGGCTCCAGATAAGGCCCTGTTACATGTATTGCCGATAACTTTTAATAGACTTAGAGACAAAGAGTAGGAAAAAACGGGGATTTAAAAAATCCCTGTTATTAACGAACAGGCCTGTTATATATATGCTTTCCACTGTATTATGTTTTTTCTTTAATTAAACCTACAATGTAATGCTTTGTATTTTGTTTCTTTTTGTTTTTGTTTTTTTGCTCTGTACATTGTGAGCATATTATTATTATTATTATGTGATGTGGTCCAGGTCAGGAGTAGACTAGTAGAGTAAAAGGAAGAGGGGAGGGATGAGGTATTGTGAGTAGAAGTAGAAGTACTGTCCCCGTAGGATTATGCCATTGTGCGGCGTTTTTTCGCGTAATTCTGCAACATTTGCATAATTTTGGATTATCCGCGTTTTTTCACCAAACAATTAATTATTAATTAACGCCTCGCCATGTGACTAAAGGGACGTAATCACCGTAATAAGTCTCATTTAAGTGAAAAGTTGGTTATTTCCCTTGTTAGAAGATCTTGGTTATGGGTTGTGATTTTGTTCCTTGAGCATGTTAAATTTTTCAATCCATCAAAAGTTGTTGTTCTCATGTCTGCTGATGTTTCCTGTTTGACAGGTGTCCCTGGTTTTAGTAATGTGCCAGCATCAGAGGTCCAGATGTCCTTTTTAAAATTAAAAAAAAAACATTTTCTTTCCTCTATAGATCTAGATTTACAGCTGAAAGTTACAGAGATTATTATTTTTGGTTGTTTTTTTGGTTTTTTTTACTGATGTGTATTGTTTTCTTTTTCGAATACACAACAAATTACTGATACTGATATGTTCTGTTTCCAATTTTTCTGTACATAAAACATGAAAATCATGAAACTTCCTGTTGAAAAAGTGCAAAACATGTCGTGAATGGTGTTACGCTAACTAACTTGCATAATTTTGCATAATTTGGCTTTTTGTGTGCATAATTTGGCCTTCTAAATTTGCATAATTCTACGGAGACAGGAAGTAGAAGGTACCAGTAGTCATTTGGTCCTTTGTTGTGGAGAAAAGGCCAGGCAGACCGTCAGAAACTGCGAGGGTTTATAATGTAGAAGCTCAAGTAGTGGCCTCCTACCATAGAGGGAGTAAAGTGTTGTTATCAATATCATCTGTAAATTATGTTGTATGAGATGAGTGTTTGTATACATTTTCACTGTTTATTTTGATTTGGTAATCTTAATCATTGAAAGTTAATCCTGTTACTCAGCTGACCCAAAGTTTGTTCGTTTTTGATAATTGTTTTTTTTATTATAAGTGACATTTTCCAAGCCTACAATTACAATAAACTAATTTTCTATATTTGCCGGACTTGTACTTGAAGTACATTTTATAAGTTCCTTCCAGCTGTCTTGAGGCTGCCCTGGCAGTAGTAAGCAAGGTGTTGAATTAGATCCCCATCTGTTGGGAAAAAATACCGGTACTTTTCAAGCCGACTGCACATGAAAGCATCCGCCTGTCAGCTGAAGCAGAAATACACAATATGCCAACGGAAATGTTAGAACTCCTAACAGACTGCCATCAGGATCATATGAAAGTCTCAAGGTGAATGAGATGGTAAATTAGTTAAGAGATTTGTTAAGTCCTGGGGGCGTGATTACGACTCAAAGTAACTACAGTGAGAAACAGGGGCGAAGCCTCTATATAATCAAATAATCACTGCTTCCCTTCCTAATTTTGAAACATTGTCGCTGTCAAATTCATCCTTAAACGTAAACCTCTTAAATCAAATGTAAAAACACGTTCGTAATCAACAATGAGTATGCCTAACATTCAAAACGGTTTCACGGCCACAGAAATAGCCTCCTCAGTCCTCACCCCTCTCGGGCCACTCCATAAGCAGTCGCAAGCTTTGATTAAGTAAGCTTAAAGTGAGGCTTGAAGAGTCTTCCAATAGAGTTGAAGGGAACATGTGCATAGCAGTCAAAGCTGTTTCATTGCCACATATATACCCTGTTCACCCCTTTGGGGCCACAGTTATAATCAATCACAAGCCCTGATTATGTAAGCTAACTAACACTGGTCGAGTCTACCTCACAAATGTGAGGGGAACTAACTCCTAATAATCTCTTGACTGCTGCTTGTGCTTTTTTTTTTCCCCTCGACTTTTTACCGTCCTATAATCAGATCGTGACCTCGATTATGACACCAGCTCCTGGCCGCGAAAGGCTAACAAAAACAGCCAAATGTGAAATTTAAAAAATGATAATTGTCATGTTCTACCAAAGAGTTAGACTCACTGGTAGATCTAGTACTGACATCTCTGCTTCTTTGCTTTGTGTTTATGTATTCACATCTAAAGTTAAATTTAATTTTAGTTGGAATTGATATTTATTAATAAGATACTTTCCCGATTATTTTGACGGTTGAACATACAATATGAATTCCGGATCTGTTTTCATTCACAACTCAGAGTCGCCGCCTCGAGTAAGATTCTTGTGTGATATCTACAGGCCATATCTGGTCCCGTATCACTTTGATTACCCTGTCAAACAAGTCAGCCTTCGCCCCTGGTGAGAAAGCACTTGACGGTTGCCCCTTGGCTTTTGTCTGGTCTACCTCTGGTTTCTCTGTGTCATACGGTACAATACTAACAGTAACAGTAACAGCCTTTTTAAACAAGTATCCTTTTAATTCTAAGTAGGCATCCTATAGGATGAGCAAAGATGATAGACAGCCTTAAAGACTTCCCCAAACAACTTAAGTTCAATAACACCTTGTTTGGGATTCAGGCAGGGGTCATCAGCTTCAGAGTCCAGACTATTGTCAGATTCTCCAATGGTACATCACCCATTCTGGTTTCAACAACGCGAAGTTTTCTATTCTATAATCAGTGGGCAACTTTTGCAACTTGAACGATTTCTTGGCAGTTGTTAACCCCACTAAAACTATGCAATTTCCTGTGCAACTTAGCAATTTTCTGTACCACTTTTCCTGTAGCCAGACTATATATTGTAATGCACTGATTAAAAGAAATAAATAAATAAAAATGCAGGGTTAGCAAACATCATGCATGTCATACATGTAGTAACTTTGAAACACATTAGGGTTTTCTTTCTTGGAGTAGGCTACCTTTGGAGTTTCTAAAACTTTCGAGTGGGTGGTTGGCTGGTTCTCTGTTATGGTTTACTTAATAATAATAATAATAATAAATAGCATTTGTATAGCGCATATCCTCGCTCCACAGCAGGCTCTATGCGCTCTACAATATATTATTACCCCAGCAGACCATAGAACTCTCCGAAACATTCTCAGCTTCCCGGGAAGCATACAGTGCAAGCAGCTGATTAAGCGCTCAAACACTAACAAACTGACGATTTTTCGCTGTCTATAGCCGGGTACCCATTCCCACCTGGGTGAAGTGAAGAAAATTTGTGTAAAGTGCCTTTCCCAAGGACACAACGTCGAACCCTTACGGTTGCGAGTCCGAGAGCCTAACCCCTAGGCCTTCTTCTTTCCAAACATCTATCGTCCTTAACTCTCCTTTTTTGTGTATGTTACTCTCTTGTAACACCTCTAATGTACGGCACCTATGTGACCTGATTGTGTTGCAAGTGCCGTGAAACACTAACTAAAACAAAAATAAACTTTCCATTACAAAAATTGGAACACGATGCTGATGATGTAATGATGATGCAAGTACGCAACACATTTTAGCCCTCATTCGAAATACATACATGTACCAGTAGTACATGTATATTTTCTTGTGTGCCTGGTACTGTTCTTTATTTTACATTGAGTCCCCTTACTTTGAGGC